TCAGACGTAGCTTCATTATAAACGATAGCTGGCGTAAAAAATAATAACTTTCATGCTGAAACTATTAAGGATGTAGCCATGGGCGGATCCAGGAATTTTAAAAGGGTGGGTTCAGGGGGTTCGAACCCCCCCATTGGCTCCGCCAACGCAAAAATTCTTCAAAATCTTCAATGTGGTCCTAAGTCTTTTTCAGGGGGGGGGAGCGAACCCCCCAGCCCCCACGCACCCTCTGGATCCGCCAATGGTAGCTACCATGGAGTCTCACTGTCACTTTGAAAACAAACAGATAGGAGGGTTCGTCTCAAAAGCAAAACCTGGACGGGTGTCGCAGACGATCGTTGGGGGTCGGGCTGGGGATAGAGATATCAGCTAAGATAAGATAATCCTTTAGGGCAATTATACTGGGGAAGTACGCGGCATGTCATAACAATTTCCAAATAATATCCAGTCCTGTCGATCTTCGCGATCGGGTGGTCATGCCACCTTATACATCCAATACGATGCGTTTCGTAAGATGATAATCAATAGATGAGGCATAGTCAACACACATGAAAAAGCACAAAATATCTTTGAGATGACCCCTTGTGCCTGTAGGCAGCACGTGCATTTCATGCCAGGTGAGTCGACGGTCCGTCGTCATACCTGGCTGAGCGACCTAATTGCCATCTATAGTCTGATCTATTGTTTTCAGCAGCTATTCGTATTTTTTCTAAGTTTTGCCCGATTTTACGAGTAAACATGCTTTTCTGGATATTCTGTTACGCATCCCACTGAATGCCAAGTTAGGCCGAAGTGGGTTATTTCGACATTTGCTATTTGCAGTTGTGTAAATTTTAGGGATATAGAGTAACAGCCTAAAAACAGGGTTTTTTTCTATTTCCGACAGTACTTTAGTCTCTGAAATGAACATATATTTTATATAACAGAAAAAAGTTCATAGTATATAAAAATGAAATATAATGAAAAGGAGCCCAGAGACTTTCTTCATTTTCAGAAAGCTGTAGAAATCTATAGACTTGCCACATTTTCCAGACTTGCGTGGACTTTATTGGATATATTTGATTCAGGGTCTGTATGACTGACTGACTGAGTTTGGTTTTACGCCGCTTTTAGCAATATTCCAGCAACATCACGGCGGGGACACCAGAAATGGGCTTCACACATTGTACCCATGTGGGGATTCGAACCCGGGTCTTCGGCGTGACGAGCCAACGCTTTAACCACTAGGCTACCCCACCGCCCCTGGGGTCTGTATGAGAGACTAGAAGAGTGCCAGAGGTGTTTCAAATCGGATCAACACTTTCTGACTAGGACTGCTGCGCTTTCGCTTGAAAATCAAATTTACAGCACCGGATATATTCTTGGATAACCTAGCTCTCGATTCAAAAGACACTTACGATTATCTTTCATAATCGACACGACAGATGTGTATTACTCCTGTTCCTGTCTCTCAAATGCCAGTCTTATAGAACCTAACGAGGGACGTATAAATGCACACTTATCCCGAATAATTCTGCTGCAACAAAATCGTGTATTACCGTAGATCATAATATAGGTCAAACTCAGATATGTTTGTGGGGCGGTGGGGTGGTCTAATCTTTAAAGAACCCGCTCGTCACGCTGAAGAACCGGGTTCGATTCCCCACATGGGTACAATGTGTGAAACCCATTTCTGGTGTCCTCCGAAGTGATACTGCTGGAATATTGCTAAAAGTGGCGTAAAACCGCACTCACTCACTCAGATATGTTTGCATATTTCTCATTCATGTGTACTTCAAAGTGCTTGTCTTGTCATAAAAATGACACTGTATATATCAAAGTATGATATTTCTCAGCATTACACAGAAACTATGTCTCGAATTCATCTCACTAAAGATGTGAAATTGCCAATGTGACATATCCGTGGAGAACAGCTCTTCTGTTCGTGAAGGTGTCAGTCAACCAGTATAGACTTCGTTTTTTCTTTCGGACGTCAGTCACCCACGACCCGCCTGATATGTAATTTTCAGCTTCAATTTTCAACCCTGTCCCACCCTTCATTAAAGAGTAGAAAATGTAAGGATATCAACTTCTCTATTGAGGGAGACACAGCGTTTCGGAGTATATTCTTGCTCATTTAACAGTTGAATTCACTACTGCAAAAGGTCTCACTACGCCAAAGGGTCGCGTTCCTCACAATACAGAAATTGATATCCATAAATTCCACACACCACCCATTCATGTGAATCACTTGTAATTGCCTTTCAAAGATTTTTCCACTCTTCATTACATCGGACATTTCGTATCTAATTCATGCATCGCAGTAATAAACAAAAACGTTGTTATTTCATGAAGAATTGTGTATAACTATTATTCTAATTCAACTTAGTATGTAACACGAGTTCTGATTGGTCAATGCTATAAATTTCCGACCGTATAATCAGCATACGGTCGCAATTTGAAAACCGATTCACCGAAACCTTTGAATGTATCCCTACACTATTGGGGTAACGCTGTTTCGCAGGACATTGTCATTTGCAGAAGCCATTGGTCAATTAACTCCCCTATCCAGCTAAAATGGGTGGAATTTGTGTTAAAAAAGACAAAACAGTATCATAAATTTAATTTTAAGTTCAAACAACTTACTCGCAACGGGCTGTTGACCCAACACTGTTAGATCATGAAACAAGGTTTATGACGTCATTATGGAGCGTGACGTCACCTGCTATGACGTCATTTGACAACAGAACTGATAATGGCCCGTAGTTGAGGAATCAGCGGGGCGCTCATTTCTGTAACTAGAGGGCGGTTTCATCATAATACCGTCCATTTTATCTATAATACTATGATCTATTCATCATTGTCAAATTTAGTCTGTGTGCACATAATAAACGTGTGTAGTTTGAAAAGGGAACTACTTTCTCTGGCGATGGTGTAAGTTGAAGGAGTGATATGATTAACCTTTGACCTAGAGGAACTTTGACCTGGTTTAAATAATGAATTTCTTTCACGAAAAAACAGCGTAAAACGAGTTGAATTAGAATGGGGATAACTGTACTGTGTTTGACGAATTGGGGACGTATACCGGTGGTTATATAGCCGCAAATTTAGTTATATCGGCGACGCGTAAGCGGAGCCGATATAACGTTAAATTTGCGGCTATATATATGCGGCCCTAATTGCAACTCTTATTATTACAAATTGAAAAAATCAATCCTTCAAAAAGACTCGTTTACCTCAAACTAAAAGCATATACAACAAATAATATAATTCACAGGAGAACAGACAGTATATACACACCACAGGACACAGGTTCACAAAATAATTTATAACATGTCAAGTACTTGTATGCATAGTCTTCTTCTTCCTCCATGGAGATAAAAGGTTCACTGGTCAATATCATATATACGGTACATATTGACTAAAGAGATTCGAATAATGATGGTCTCCACTACAGTGATATGGTATTAGATACATTCACTATTTTCTTTGTTCAAGTCTCCAGTTCACCATCAATGGGTCTCCTATTGTTAGTGTTGACTCAATGAGTCAGTGAGTAGACTGAAGAAGCCCTAACAATGAGCTCTTCATGTGCAGGTCACAAACTTGTCCGATGCTCACAAACACATGTACTTCCTGTGGACCGAATGCTTTCAGAGGATCAAACAGAATTTCATGTTCACCTCACAGGCACTTTACAGCACAGGCCCTCGTGTCTTTGCGAGGATTCAAGATTTTTAAAAAATACATAAAAAATTGAGATGACCCGCCAACTCGAAATGCTTCACAATACAATACGTCATTATGCATTGTACTTTGAAGCAGTTCAAATTGGGGGTCATCTCAAAAACAATATTTTTTTAACCCTTAGTCGTCGCAGAGACACGAGGGCCTGTGCTTTACAGACCTCCTGTGGACCTTAAAACCACTCAGTGCTGACCTCACGAACACGTATGCGGACCGCAAACACAAATTCCTTGGACACTTGGACCTATCATAACTAATACCCGTAGATATTGCAAACACTTTCTGTGGACCATATAAATACGTCATGTGGTCCTCACAAACACCTCCTGTGAACTACCTTAGGTCCAAATTCGTCGTACTCTTGCTTTGTGACCCACATTTGCTGAAAAGTTGAAAGCGAGGCTAAGATTGAGCCGCCAATCCAAACTGAGTACTTCCGTTCAGGTAGAGCAACCACTTTCACGATCGTAGTTTTCGGCACAAGTTTAGCCAGTTCCTTCGTCAGCCGCTCAGTTATACCTGGAATGTAAAGAACAAAACCTTGATGACGATCGCCCCTGGTTTCTGTAAGTTCAATTTTAAAGACGGTTTCTTTTCGCAGCCAAATCCATTCACTATATAAATACTGTAGGATAGGTCTAAGGCTTGGGCGTTAACAATATATAAAATATAACTGAGGATATTGGGCTCTCCTGGCCAAATAATTTTCATTGCATAATCCTGGCAAAAGACGCTTGATCATCAGTGACCTTTGATAGAACAGCTCACTATTCTATTTTTACTTTATTTTCTCACTGACTTTTGATAACATAGCCAGGAAGCCATAGTATCAATTCCGCAGACAAAATCGTTGTTGATGAAAATCATGTTACTTCATGCGAGTGAAATAACATAATTGTTTATGTTATTTCATCGAAAAAGATTGTAGATTTTCAGATACACATATAAATTATTGTCTAACCACCCGATCCCGCTAGTCTTCTCTTACGACAAGCATGGGTTGCTGAAAATCAGTTCTAACCCGGATCGTCACGGTCCGAATACATATAGCTCAGTTATGACTGACTGACTGACTGAGTTTGGTTTTACGCCGCTTTTAGCAATATTCCAGCAACATCACGGCGGGGGACACCAGAAATGGGCTTCACACATTGTGCCCATGTGGGGATTCGAACCCGGGTCTTCGGCGGGACAGCTCAGTTATGACCATTACTAACCAGGGAACATGGTCGAGCCTCCAGACAGGATGAAGTTGGTGCACATGTGCTTCCTGATGTCAATATCGCATTTCTTTAAGGTCTTGATAATCATCCTGTGGATACCTCGACTCTCCAGGCCTGGAAGGAAGCATCATTGGGGGAATTCATACTCAACACAAATCAGACATGCTTTGGGAATTTCCATCAATAGGTTGTGATGTTAAACGTGATGGGGCTGCTAATACTGAGTGAGTGAGTAAGTTTAGTTTTACGCCGCACTCAGCAATATTCCAGCTATATGGCGGCGGGCTGTACATACTCGGGCTGTACATACTCGAGTCTGGTCCAGACAATCCAGGGATCAATGGCATGAACATCGATCTACGCAATTGGGATACCATGACATGTGTCAACCCATTCAGCGAGCCTGACCACCCGATCCAGTTGGTTGCCTCTTACGACAAGCATGGGTTACTGAAGATCAATTCTAACCCGGATCTTCACAGGTAATACTGAACTGCACTCAGCAATATTCCAGCTATATGACAGCGGTCTGTAAATAATCGAGTCTGGACAAGACAATCCCGTGATCAAAAGCATGGGCATTGTGATACGATGACATGTGTCAGCTAGCCTGACCACCTGATCCCGTCAGTCACCTCTCACGACAAGTGAGTGAGTGAGTTTAGTTTTACGCCGCACTCAGCAATATTCCAGCTATATGGCGGCGGTCTGTAAATAATCGAGTCTGGACCAGACAATCCAGTGATCAACAGCATGAGCATCGATCATCTGAGCAATTGGGAACCAATGACATGTGTCAACCAAGTCAGCGAGCCTGACCACCCGATCCCGTTAGTCGCCTCTTACGACAAGCATAGTCGCCTTTTGTGGCAAGCATGGGTTGCTGAAGATCAATTCTACCCCGGAACTTCACGGGTCTCTCACGACAAGCATGGGTTGCGGAACACAGGTTCTAACCCGGATTTGCACGGATGTATAAAAGACATATTACTATTAGTAGCATTACATATTACTCTAGTCTATTTGTAAATGTTTACATTTTCAGCTAAATTCGCTTTCAAAACAGTCAATTGTTTTAGTTTCATCATGATTAATATATATTTATGTCTACCACATATTATCATTTGTATGACATGGTACGAATATCACTTCAACACTTGACAGGGGCAAATGTATTCATGACGTTTACCCCACAGACCCTCGTGTCTTTGCGAGGAGAACAGATGTATAAAAAAACATAAAACATTTGCGATAATCCCCGACTCGAAATGCTTCACAGTACAATACATTATGATGTATAATTACACTGAGTAGCATTTCGTGTCGGGTGTCATCTAAAAAAAATATATTTAGTTTAATCTTTAATCTTCGCAAAACACGAGGGCCTGTGGTTTACCCAGCATTCTTGGATTGAACAGACACTCTGGAGCACGGAACCTCTCGTTTCCGATTGTTACCACATTCCCGTCTGGAAGCTCGTAATCTTTTTCAAGTGCGGAAGACTCGTCAGCTGCTTTCATCTCCGCCTTGAAGTCCAGTGGAACATAGCAGAGTTTCTCCTTGATGTCTCGCACTATCTCGAACTCGGCTGAAAAAGCAACACATTCAGTGAGTAGAATTCGTGTTGTGGCAGTATTTTCAAGGTCAGACAGCTGTCGCTGTTCTATAACATATATAATCATCGCGTCAATAAATGATAAAAGCAAATTCACGGATATTGTGAACACTTTCAGGGTATGTTTCAAAACCATATTCTTGGAAAAATCTGCAGATATAAGTACAGAGAGGTGTAAATAGGAACATAGACTGATACGCAGACTAGGGCCCTGGGCCTAGATTTTCGAAGGTCTCTTAGCGCTAAGATAGTCTTAAGTTAATGCATGGCACTTACGACTATCTTAGCGCTAAGAGAGCTTCGAAAATCTAGGCCCTGTTTCACAAAGCTATCCTGACGCTACGACCGTCATACCTCCTATACTGGGCCTAGATTGTCGTTATAGTCATAACTTAATGTTATTGTATGGCACTTACGACCATCTTAACAATAGGAGAGCTTCGAAAATCTAGGTTCAGGTGTATCGTAACATGGACTTGCGACAGTCGCAGCGCTGCGATAGCTTTGTGAAACGGGGCCCTGATTGACAGATGGTCACACATTAGCTATGTACAGTTGGTACACATGTTCCTCGTGAGGAGCCTGGTAGCCAGGGATCGCCATTACCTCACGCTTACGTAATAATGGCGGCTAAAGTTTACAAAACAAAACAACACATATTCGTCGTTAGAAAACTGAATTTGGTAAATTTATTAGATTTTGTCAATGTGTTTTCAAACTGGTGATCCCTGTATGATGCTATTATATGGACTGGGCGGTCAGGCTAAATAACTCCGCCTCGACAACGAGGACGCTGTTCATTAACAGTGGTTGGCTTACGTTGTCCGGACTTGATTGTATGCAGCCAGCAGTAATATGGGATACTCCTAACGGAGGCGCTTGAAACACCCTCAGTCGTACATAGAGAATGAGTATGGTTTTGCGCTGCAGAACGACAGACAACAGAACACAGGCATATAGTCATATGTTGTGGAAGCGTGACAACACACCTGATGTATTAGTCAAGTCGTATCCTCTCTCCTGTAGAATCCTGCTGAGGTAGGACGTTATGTTGTGGCCTGCAAGATTCAATCTCCGGATAGCGTGTGGCAGAGCGTAACCTGGGAATGAGAGAGTAATCAGTACTCAAGACACAAGAAAATAAATAAAATTGATTAATACCTTTTAAAGATAATAATGTATGTCCAAGCATGTCCCAACTTTGAGTGTAATACTATTCGAAACACGAAGATGTATTTGAATTTAAGAAAGCCACATCAGGTTATACATCAGATATTGCACTCAAAGTGCAGTTTCAATAGGGAACACACATATGCCAAGTGATTGATTGGGTGAAGTTTTACGCCGCTTTCAGCAATATCACGTCATGGGACACCAGAACTGGGCTCCTCACATTGTACCCATGTGGGGAATTGAGCTCGGGTCTTCCGTGTGACCAGCGAACACTTTTACCACAAGGCTCACCTACCGCTCCTACGAACAGGCCAAGGAACTATAGTGTTCGTCTCGAGTGTTCAGTACCTTCATATATGGGCACGGCGTGCGTGACACCATCTCCACAATCCAGCAAAATCCCACCGCCACGACCCGAGGCGTATAGCGACAACACCGCCTGTATACTGACGTAGAAGCCTGGGACTTCGAATTTCTCGAACTGAATCTGCAATAAGGAGGGAATAAATTTCAGCGATATCACAGCTGTATTATGGTTGCCATCTATGTCGGGTCCCCTCCCTCCCTTGCGCGAGGGTCTCACCTCCATCATTTTCTCTCTGTTACGTTTGGGGTTCAGGGGCGCCTCCGTCATGAGTACCGGCTGTTCCGTAGTGTCTACTCTGAGGTCGTTGTAGTAGACGTGATGCCAGATATCTTCCATGGCGTCCCAGTTGGTGACGATGCCGTTGTGTATGGGATATTTCATACTGAGCACACCCCGCTTCATCTGTGCTTCATCTCCAACGTACTCCTTTGGAAACCCCCCAACCATGCATGTCTGCAAGACACATCAGCATCTGTAATGGCTTGGTTGTACGGTAAATTGTGTACACTAGAATGCCTTAGTTATGTTCTGACGAGCATGGATAATTTTCCAGCTAGTTTACGACTGCTTAAAAGCAGTGTGCGAAATAACCACTGACCCACTATCCCGTGGCTGGTAAAAATGCAATCGGGCCAGTAAATACCTACAGTCTCTGGCCCGACTGGCTTGTGACATTTCATAGAGGCATTTTGTAAATATATCACTCTCTCCGACTTGTTAAGTTAATACACTTTTAAATCATGCAAGATTATGGCCTGATAAAAATGTTATCAGGCCATAAGATGAAACTCATATTAGCAGCTCAATGATGAAACCGTGTCTACATTCAAATTTCGGGCTAGTGAATTATTTTGTGGGCTATTAACTTTCAGGCATAGCTAGCCCAAGTGGCTAGCAAAATTTGGAAACTATTTCACACACTGCTTATAAGTAGGTGAGGTGAAATGGGGTTTAACGTCATACTTAAGAATATTTCGCTCATATGACAACGTGCATGTGTGGCTGTTTGTACTAGCCCAAGCTTAAGCTGTTTTTTAGTTGACGCAGTTATGCATGAATACCCTACTCCGACACAATATACTGACTCCGAGCCGACCAGTCCTCCAAACGCTCATGATATGTTTCCTAACAAGCTGAAAAATACTGTCCTTCTACGGGAATCGGGACAAGCAGGTGAGAAACATATCAAAATCATGTAGGGTTGCTGAAAAAAAGACAGTTTTCAGAAACATCAAGGTAGACGTGAAATTGTTTGACTGCATTTAGACAATAGGTACATGTCATTAAGACTCTTGAAGTAATACCAAGAAACTCAACATGATACAACTGTGACAAAATACATGCTTTTTCACACATTTGGATGCAGATACAAAAAGATAAGTCGTGAAAATAGTCTGTGTTATGATCTAACACCGTTCATCTCCGAAATCATCATCTTCGAACTGTCAAGCAGAAAGGTGAAGAATAAACCTGTTTTCTGAGATGAGATGATGTCCCCCGCACACAAAATAGCTGTTAGTGGGTACAGATAGCTGTTAGTGGGGTCTGTAAGAAGTCTGAGACAAAGTTATCAATGGAAAAGGTGAAAGACTTTTTTATTACCCATATATGGGAAGGAGGACACAGGGTGGTATTTATCCTGTATCTTGGGAGGTTACACCTTCTGATGAACGTTGATTGGCTGTTTCAGAAAATAAAACATCCAATCAACGCGTCGGGATATGGACATTCCCCACACCGAGGGTTTCTTATAGTGAATGTTGTTTTCATTTCAACGCTGTTTAGATCTAAAACTGATATGGGTTATAAAAACAAAAGCCACCTTGTGGTGGTGAATGGCAGAATGTCTTTCACTCGTTATATAAATCATGTAATTCGCTCGCCAAGGCTCGAGAATTACGTAATTAATATAACTCGAGAACAGATAATCAGTCATTCCCGTTACTCGTTAGCTATTGTTTAAATCATTCTCCATGATGGCTGTCTTTTCTCCCTATTTGTGACCTCTCTTTCGCGTCAAGCCCAAGGACAAAAGGGACCACAGCACTCAAATGGTACACGCCAAGATATTTCTGGGGTGGGTGGAGAATAGATTGGTCCCTGCTCTGCCTGCTAAATCCCTTATTATCATGGACAACGCACCATATCACAGAGTGTATAAGTTACTCACATCGTACTTTGGTTTACCAATCAGAGATGGAATAACACAACGTGGGGCGTCATCCCCAGCAAAGCCGGCCTTACACATCCCGGATCCGTTGTCAATGACGATAGCCTCGGTATCTTCTGACATGGTGCAGATGAACTGACTGTCGTCGTAGAACGGTCTGTAACATAGCAATTTAAGTACTATATATGGTCCAGCTGTTCTCGTGGACGGAGGGACAGAATGATCGCATGGATGCACTGTTAAAATATTCAAGCTTGATATTAGCAGGCTGTCGAAACATTGATGGTCGTTGTTTGGTTTATGGACCGGAAGAGACCTTTCTTCTAAATAACCGTAGTCGAGCCAATGTGTCGAGGGCGTGTCCTTTTGTACATCTAGGAATTAACAAAGGATTAGTGAAGACAATGTTAATGAGTTTTCACAAGGAGGCAATCCGGATTATACGTTTTAAAGAGCGCAGGACAAGCAGAAAATTGACCCCATTGTGTCGAAAAAAGATTTTTTAGGAATACAAAATGTAACAATATTCAAATATAGAAACAATTTTGAACTTAATTAACATGGTGTTTTTTCACGTGCTAACTCCACTTTTCACATACACACTATAAACACTTAGCATTTCACATACACACTACACATACACACTTAGCATTTCACATACAAACTTTAATGCACTCTTCACATAATAATAATTGATTTATAGAGCGCCTATTTCCAAAATGGTATTGCTCAATGGCGCTTTAAAGAGAAAAGACTGTAGACAATGTCTGTGGAAATGAAAGTTTGAAAAGATGAGATGATATAGACACTTCACATTTCAAATAGGCACTTCACATTTCACATACACACTTCATATTTCACGTACAATTTATATTTCACATACACTCTTCACTCTTCACATACACACTTCACATTTCACACACACATTTCACATACACTCTTCACATACACACTTCACATACACAGTCCACATTTCACATACACTCTTCACATACACACTTCACATTTCACATACACAGTCCACATTTCACATACACGATACACTCTTCACATACACACTTCACATTTCACATACACAGTCCACATTTCACATACACACTTCATATTTCACGTACAATTCATATTTCACATACACTCTTCACTCTTCACATACACACTTCACATTTCACACACACACTTCACATTCCACATACACAGTCCACATTTTTTAATCCAGAAAAACATGCACACCAAAATGACAGCTATCCCGTATACAGATACGGGCACTATAGACAGCGTGACTATATCGAGATTCCCCATTAAATAAACCACCTGGATCCATCGATATCTTTCACTATATATAGTATGCGCATTACATAACCAGAGCACTGCATTATACGGTAAGCGTCACATTCAGGGGCGTAGCTATCATTATAAGAAAAAGCCCGGGCTTACACATGATTTTTACTAAAACGGTTGGACAAGCCCTCAATACTATCTAAATATAAAGATTTGCAACCTATCGGGCTTACACGAAAAAAATGGCTTGCAAACAGCCTGACACTGTGTTACGTTCTTAAGTCAGCTGACAAGAAATACAACGTTTTCCTTACCTCCAATATTAAGCGATATATCCACAAATATGTAGCTATTTATAACACGAGGTGACGCTCCATCGATTACTGCTCGACATGAAAGGCTGTGACAACTGTTTTACAGACGACCCTGGGTGACTGTAAGCAAGAAAGTACTGCGTTACCGTGAATGGGTAATATTAGAACGTGATGAGATGAGCCGCTGCGCGACTAATAGATTTACAAAAATGCTCGCTCGTCATAACGATCGGCCAAAGCCTCACCCGAGCAAAGGGTTTACAAGCACAGGAATACGTTATCGCTATATAGCGGAAACATAGACCATAGATCTACACACATAGTCCATGTGTTACCTACATGGCGATAACGGGTTCCTGTGTTCACAAGACAAGTACGCTACTGGTGTTTATGATTAGATTGTTATGGATGTACTATATAATAACTCTTACGGTACATGGGGCTCTGTGGCCGTTTGTCGAAGTGCAGAAGATCAAGTGTGTTGCCCAACCCGGAAATTCTGTTTACATGGAAGGGCGTGAAGAAATTAGAGTTACCTCCCTTAGATTACACTCCACCTCGTTGCTCGAATGATTCATTCAATCGAAGCAGGGAGAATAACATTTGGAAATTGGAAGTTATTCGGAATTGACCAGATAAATCAATACATATTATGTAACCATGACAACATATACATTAATATACACAAATACATAAAATTAATGTTGGATTCATACCATACATACAACACGAGACAAAAAGCGGTAATTAAGGCGGATAGTTCAAATCGATACTCTCAGTCAGCTATAACTTACTTGTAAAGTGTCACTGTGATATTGCCATATACAGTCATGAGTACACGTTTGGCGATATACAAATTCACACGTCTATTCCACCACGTTTCCAAATATGGGCATAGTTAACAGAATGGAATCCCGACTGCACATAAGCATATACTAACAGGAGCAGTACGTGTCACTGTGTCAACACTGAAATAAGAGTGTGGTGCATACAGCTCTTTGAGAAAGGTGGGGTGCACACGTCGTTTTCACGAGAGTTCCAATGTTCATTTAATAAACTTTCAGGACAAAAGGGAGGGGTGCGCACCCCTGCACCACCCCTCTGGATCCGCCTATGGCAGTGTGATATCCTTTGGTACTATCTGGAATTTCCGTGTTGTGTACAAATTATGATACCTCAAGTACTAATTTAATACGATACATAGAATTAAATAAGTCTTTTCTGATAATTTGTCGGATATCGGTAGGGTAAATGTTTATGTACTGATAAAATTATTCTATAGGCAAAACGAATACAGTAAAATACCTTTATAACGAACTCCAAAGGACCACTGAAATTAGTGCGCTATATCCGTAGTTCGCTATTCACTTTTTTATATGATATTATAAGGTTTATTCGGGACTTTTAAAACAGTTTGCTATAGCCGTCAGTTCGTTATATCCGTGTTCGTTATAAAAGTATTCTACTGTATTTCTAAATGGGTTATGTTCATTAGCTGTATTCGACAGTTTTCAATGTACGGCCTATGTACAGGGCCCTAATGGTGAATCGGATGGTCACATGAGATATATATGGCAGCTTTTACAAGTGTGATTGAAAATGACCGTCTAGGATACAATTATAACTACCTAAAAATGAAATGTTGTTTTGAAAAACATAAGAAAATACAAATGCACTGGTAGGGAACTTGGTTACAGTGAGAGTGGAGTCTTTGTGATTTTTGCGACAGAAACTTTATGATTTGTGACAGAGTCTTTGCAATGATATGCATTATAATAAAATAAAATGGTAATTATAGCTTTACTTTGTGGTATCAAAGACTATAAGTTTCCTAATCAAATCACAATATCATCTGGCAACTTAATACTTTATAGCATAGATATAATTTTTATCATAATTTGCAGTGAAAGTCATATTTGATGATAAATATGAGTAAAACATCAAAATTCACAGCCCTAGAAGAACTAAATATTCACAACGAATTATGTCAAATTTTCCAGATGAAATTGTGTCATATACATCAATATTTCAACATCAGTTTCACTAAAATAATATTATAGAAATGTCACAGAGTCTTTAACAGTGGTAACGGATAATTTGAGATTGAAAGATGATGGTAACGGAAAATTCCTATTATTTTGTGTTCATTCACGATAAGGCAGTAAGTTGTTCTGTTGTATATAAACAAATCATTAGCCAATAAATGGTGTGGATCATGTAATTTCAAATCGCCCAAAATGAACAAGTCATGAAATAAGATGATTTCTTTATTATTTCTTGGGAAATTTTGTGTGCATCATGTACAGTTCTCCAGTCTATACATTTGAATGAGTGCCTGCAAGTGATTGTAAGTCTTAACAGCATTACTTTATGGCGCGTGGTCCTGTGCTCAAAGCTCAGGTCACAAATCGGTGAAGTTAAGCAGCGTCGAGCTCGGGAGAGTCATTGATGGGTGACCGTGTTTGGCAGCTTGACTCCTGAGAGTTTCTAGGACTTGAGTCCTGCCCCACAACGAAGCACATGTGACACATGTGGTCTCACCTTAGGCAAGTGAGTTTGTTCAAAATTGTCTCTGTTCACCCAACAGGAAAATGGGTACCCGGTGGAAAAAAGTCATATGACTATAACCTTCTAGCGCCTAACAGGCAGCTTGGGTTATCCGGGGTAATAATGTGCTGTGCCTTGATTGTTAGCGCTATGAGCATACCTAGTGTGGAGTTTGGCGCTATATAAATAGACACATTATTATTGTTATTATTACATCTCGAAATGGAACACATACAAATTGATAGTACAAAACCCCATTCACAATATGTAACTCACACAGTCTGTACAAAAATAATTATTTTCAGAAGAAGACAATTTAGTCAATGTTCATGATGAATTTGATGATGATTGTGATCTACACATTGTTGTATATAATGACTATTTGTCAATCGCAAATAGACTTCAAAATATAAAGTGTTGTCTCATGTAGCACAATATGTGAATAAAACACTACAGGCTTGAGGAACAGATTGTAGTTTTACACCCCTGCTCAAGTGGCGATTCATGGCTATTTTAACCTATAAGTGGAATTATTAGATTGGTTTTTACTGAACTATATATTTCCGGAATATTGAAGTAAATTTAAGCATAGAGAAAACTATGCCAAATAGGAAGATATGACAGGTCCGCCTTACAGCAATATTTATGCCAGGAGATTTTCAACCAAAGTGAACCAATTCTGCAGGATTGTATTATAAATAATTCACGCAAACTTCATACGATTAAAAGCATCATCACATTATACCACTTTGCGATGTTCTAGTCATTATTATCCTGACATGGATCAGTTGAGAGACGAAGTATGAAAATTTTATATTGAGTGTAAATCACCTCGAATTATACATCATCATTCAGATGATCTTTAGACACAACAAATACATTAATAGAAACGTACAATTCCGATTCATGAACAAGATTTTACAAATTATGTCCCGTCAATTCCAGTTTTGAGATTGTGAATTATCTGTGACCATGAATGAATTTTCTGTCCCAGCAATTTCATAATTACAAATTTTCTGTCACTTAGAGCAATTCAGTCTTTTAGATATGTCTTCTTCTCGCTGATAAAACAACACATGTTTCATTATAATGGGCGATAAGCCCAATCAGAATGCTGACTTTGCATGTTACAATAATGTATTCAATCATTTTTTTAAACAAAAGTGTATCAATTCACTATAAAAGAAGTATGAAAATCTGAACAATTTATGACTTTACATGATTATCAAAGGTTTTCAGAGTAATATAATTATATTCGTTCCTGAAGGAACATAGCAATGAGGTAAACGCGAAATTAATTCCCTTATAAAGTTGATTTTGGACTTCTACAGGACATTTATTGCACCTTACCCTCGCCTTCACAAAGACTCTTTCACAAATCATAAAGTTTCTGTCGCTAAACTCACAAAGACTCCATTCTCACTGTAACCAAGTTCCCTACCAGTGAAATGTGTAGTCAGAAATGAGCAACCGTGCAGCCATCGACGTCTATTTGACACCGTTTGTTAATCCCGGGCGGTCGAGTGATAATAGACTGGGATTGTGTGTGAACTGATACTCTGAATAGTATTCCAGTTTCCTCATGCGTATTTGCCTTCAGTCCCTGCTAAGTCCCTGAACATATATCATTCCCAGAGAAACAAGTGGCTCCGTCTAGATTGAAAAGGAGCCCAAGTGAGATGGGGAATTCGACTGTAGGTGACTGGTCTATTAAATTGTAAAAGAGGTGCATTAGTTTTTTTCAGACAAGAACAAAGAAATGTACAATGAACATAGACGAACATTTATTTACGTCACATAGCGTGTATACATTATAGGTTTATGTGTCAAATGTACAGATGAGATTATTTGTGATAATTATGCGAGTTTAATTTTACGCCGCACTCAGCAATATTCCAGCTATATGGCGACGGTCTGTAAATTAACGAGTCTGGACCAGACAATCCAGTGATCAACAGCATGATCATCTATCGGCGCAATTGGGATACGATGACATGTGTTAACCAAGTCAGCGATTTGTGATATGTACACATGGATTGAAGTGATATCCTCTACACAAGGCGTAATAAAAATATAATTATATACCGATGTACATAAGAAAGTACACACTTGGTGTTTTGGGACTATTCAACCCCCAAAACATAAATATTTTGCAACCAATGTTGTAACTGGGTACGATATCTGTAGTGTTTTGGAAACACTTGTACAATGTTTGTGACAAGGCAGAATCAAAACACTTGTTCAATATTAATGCCGTTTTTAAGAAAATATTTTACCGAAGAATATTTTACGGTCAGTTTATATTAAGATAGAATCAGGTACGTCAACATATACACATAATATGTATATATACACAATGTTCAGTAACATCAGCTTATATTGGAAATGGCACCCTAAAGGTGACACATTAAGGATCTACATTCATATTGCATTGTAGTCTCAACCAGCGGAACAAACAAATCATCTATTATATCGGTATCACAGTCCAGTCATTGTGGTTGCAGTTGCAGATATTTAGGAACGCATCATTTCCATTCTTCAAGACGTTTACAACTATGATGGTGAAACCCACAAGTATGGGTATGGTGCTGACAATCCAAGAAACACAGTTCGGGCGAATCGAGATTTCTTAATTCATGAGTTTCATTCCCAGCACAACTCAGCACTTTTGGGGCGTCTTGAAGGCCTGTTCCACCCTGGTCCCCACCAGTCAAAGATTTGTAGCACGTTTCGTCAATGCCAACTGCCTGTCACAACATGACACTCAGAAACACTTCCTGTGAACAATGCTTGGTCCAGATTCATCATACTCCTGCTTGGAGATCCACATTTGTTGAAAGGTTGAAAGCGAGGCCAAGATGGAGCCGCCGATCCACACCGAGTACTTCCGCTCAGGTGGAGAAATAACCTTGACCTTGATTGTAGACGGTACGATGGCACTCAGTTCCTTCACCATACGGTCTGCCAGACCTGTAAAATAACAGCGTTATTATTTGCACAAAATGTGACAATCATGAATGAGAACAATTTACAATGCAAAGGGGTGAAATGCTACAGAATCGATTACAGTGCATTTTGTCCATGAATAACCATGTCTAATCCCAGACACGGCCATTGCCTTGGCAGCTACAGCAAGAGCTCACCTGGATACATTGTTGATCCTCCTGACAGAACCACGTTGCTGTACAGATCCTTCCTGATGTCAATGTCACAGTTCATCACCGAGCTGTTGACCATCTCGTGGATGCCTGTACTCTCCATACCTGGAGGGGAGAACATATGTATGAGAGAAGGTGTTGTGATTATATACTACTGTTTATTATATGTATCAAGGACCAGCGTCAAGTATACATGTTTATCACTGAACAATATCGATCATCGTCTGTGCTGATGACGATAAATGTTTAAAAAACACAAGTTCCGTTAGAACTGGATTATCCATCATCCTGTAACACTTACCCGTGAAGCTCGGCTGGAACAGACACTCCGGAGCTCGGAACCTCTCATTGCCGATAGTTATCACAGACCCGTCCGGCAGCTCGTATCCTTTCTCAATGGCGCTGGACTGTGCAGCTGACGCCATCTCTGACTCGAAGTCCAGGGGAACATAGCAGAGTTTCTCCTTGATGTCTCGCACTATCTCCTTCTCAGCTGCAAACACAACATTTCAAGTTGTCACAAACACGATACACGAAAAAATGACTGTAATCATATAATATTTATTGACAACTAACAAAATAGAATATCTGTGATGATATGGATCTTATGGCCTTACTGATGAATCAATATATGCCCAAAATAAATCTCTTATCAAGGCTGACCAAGAAAATTTAGTTGTTATGCGGCCTTCACAGGTAATGCTTAAAAGGCGGCCAAAGCACTATATTGTATTCTGTTAGTTAAGACGTACAGAGTTACGTCCCTTTATCCATCTGTGGAGACGTATAGAGTTACGTCCCTCAGTTCACTCTTGCTCCTGTGACCGCGTCTCTCTCGAGCGGCGTGCGTTGTGTACGGTGATGAATAAAATCGTTTGAGAAGACAATCCGTGTCCTGTGGATGTGAGAAGTGCAATACACAAAAGGTGACGTTTCTACCTTAGTGGTGGTGAGGTCAAGAACAATCTGTGGCAAATATACGTTTAAATGGTTAAAAGGTGATGGCAGACACGTGCGGACCATTACAAGATATAAATGGTCACTCACATGATGTAGTAAAGTTGTATCCTCTCTCGTGAAGAATCCGGCTGAGGTAGGAGGTCAGGTGACGGCCAGCCAGGTCCATTCTCCGGACAGCGTGGGGCAGGGCGTAGCCTGAGATAATCACAAATTAGGTTATACAATAAGTATCGTGTCACTGACAGAAGAACGTGTTGTGTGGAACTTCAAACCTTGAGAATATGAAATAACACTTTGAAGTCTATTTTGAAATACCCGGATTTGTCTCACCTTCATATATGGGCACGACGTGCGAGACGCCATCTCCCGAGTCGAGGACGACGCCAGTGGTTCTCCCCGAGGCGTACAGCGACAACACCGCCTGGATGCTCACATAGAAGGCGGGAGTGTTGAATGTCTCAAACATGATCTGTAATAAGGAAACAATACTATCAGTGACACGATTGAGATATGTTATATGTCAAATGTTACATAAAAGTGTACGATTATTGCATCCTTAAGAAAACAGGTTACGTCATGAAAACGGTCTCATTGTCTTACCAACAACCATTTTCACAATCCCCAATTGTAATTGAATTTTCAAGCTGCATCAAGGAGATATGTGAATTATCTGGACCTGACAAACTTGTGGGTGACATCATGAACACCACTTCATGCAGCCGATGTGCGGTAACTGCTGTTTTGTAACGACGTGAACATCATGAATAGTCTCTATTAATCTTAGAGTATTTGACTTAGAAGTTAGAAGTATACCCTGAAATCTCAATAAAGTTAACCTGCGGTTGATGACATTATATGTTTAATAGTGAGACCTCCCCATAGTCTGGTCATTGTAACAACGTGACCCCTACCTGCACCATCTTCTCTCTGTTAGACTTGGGGTTGAGTGGTGCCTCCGTCAGAAGTACTGGGTGCTCCTCGGGTGCTACTCTCAGCTCGTTGTAGTAGGTGTGATGCCACACACGTTCCATGTCGTCCCAGTTGTTGACGATGCCGTTCTCAACGGGATATTTCAGACTGAGGATACCTCTCTTACTCTGTGCCTCGTCCCCGATGTAGCAGTCCTTGGTTCCCATCCCGGCCATGTAGACCTGTAGGAGTGATTGCAGTGGAATTTCGAGGCATATTGTTAGTATGCGCACATGACAATCAATCCCCAGACAGTAATTTCACAAGCACGTTTTCAGTGCCGAATGCAATTGAAAGCATACTTAATATGTATTGAAAAGGACAACATTCCTTACCTGGGATAAAATAATCAGTTGGCTGAATATCCAGAGGATTATCTGGGAATTGTATTACCTAATTTAACTGGTTTCACTGTATAAACGTTATATAACATGACACTGAGATATATCTTAGGTATTGCGCATAGTTCCATCGTAAGTTGGTAAGGCGTTGTTTTGTTTGGCTTTAACTTAAACATATGGCTTAAATATCTAGTTTTGAAAGTATAGCATACTAAATCTATTACAAATAATTATTGCCATGTGTACGGCCTATCAAAATACATGCTACATCGGGAAATGTTCACATATACTATTGTGTCAAACTATATTCTATTAAAACAAACAAACATACGGTAAAACTACAATCTTTAAATTTAGACATCGTGTACTCACGTCGTACTTGGGTCTACCAATGACAGCTGGAAACACAGCACGTGGGGCGTCATCCCCAGCAAAGCCGGCTTTACACATCCCAGATCCGTTGTCAATGACAACAGCAGCAATATCTGTATCGTACTCAGACATGATGTATAGATGGTTGTACTGTTTGTCTTGGTGGAACTTCTGAAATATAGTGATCGAGTTACTAACGCTAGAGTGAGTGGGTGAGTGAGTTAGTTTTACGCCGCACTCAGCAATATTCCAGCTATATGGCGGCGGTCTGTAAATAATCGAGTCTGGACCAGACAATCCAGTGATCAATAGCATGAGCATCGATCTGCGCTACTAACACTAGAAACTGAGAGTAAATGCAATACCAATTTACGAAATGACACCAGTATATATCGTGTTATATTTATGATGCATAATTGTCATATATCACTTTAAACCAATATTCTGATATTTATGGCAGCGCAAAATAATTTCAAATTATATTTAATTAATTGATAAATGTTCAATCAACATCTCAAAATAGGAATGAGTAGTAAAACTGCGGTGAGCATAATTGTTCTTTTCTGGACTTGAGAAAATCGCCGCCGAGTGATAAAGCTTGTAAACGTTGTGATGCCGCGTAAAACAACACTCGACCATTAAACCAGTAAGTCAAATCACCGTTAAACACTGTAAATGCATTATTTTGCTACAAATATTCCTAGTCCATTAATCCTAATTTCAGTGTATAAGAAATAACGTTAAATTTCACCTACCTGTAGTAACTTGACTGTTTCCAGTTCTTAATGTCTTTGATTCCTCCACTATAAACTGCTGGGTATTTATACCCGGGTACTGACCTGTTTCCTGGAATTCTCATATCGATTATTCATATTTTTCTCCTTGTATGGAAGGATATCCCCGATAAATATAGAAGTCGCCCAGCTTCCAAGAAAACAGGTGAACCCTGAGCTAAAAATATATATGATCTGTCCCAGGTAGCAGGGCGTCGCATATCGCCGACAGTGTGTAGACAGTGAGATACTATATATGTAGGTAAACATAACCCTGATCTATATTGGTCACAACAACAACGTTATATCACTCAAACCGATGAAAGATCTTTACAGGGTTTACATGTAGACATGGAATATTCAGAAAATCGTCTGTATATTATTATTTCTTTGTTATAATTTGTCAATATTTCCAGGAATCAATAAATGAGCATCACCTTGTATAAATTGGAATTCATTTAGACATCATTATAAATATTTTGTTAGTGATATGAATGGGAAATACATTAGATTCACTTCGATATTGGCAAAAAACATGACGAACACTTCATTTAAATGTAAAATCTGTTTGCATGTTTCTTATAAATTGATATTGTTGTAAATGAGTATGTTGCATCACATAACTGGTATAAAACAACGCCCGTTTTCTTTTATCGTATTTGGAAACACGTATCCCAGACACGATATACATGTATATGTTCAAATATAATATTGTATGAAGGGACAATTGATTGGATGTGTAAGTGATCGTTTAATCGCATTAAAGACATTCCTAGTGGAGTGCCCTGATTGATAGAACTTTAAAAATCAGATTTTGTAGAGTGGATGCATTAATACTTAAGTTCAATATTATACTCTGCGCTGACTGTAATGGTGGAAGGCTGTGACACAAACCCATATAAATAGCAACTGACACAGTGTGGTTGTGAAACAATGTCAGAGTTACTTCCCTTGGTACTTGGCAATCGATCAATGCAGCTACTCCCTCAAATGGGATTTTGTTTTCGATAATGTAAGGCATTTCCAAGTATCGCCTTTCTTTGTCGATAATGTACGTTATTGATTACACAGGTTGTTTTGTTCTAAAATAAATAGTTTCAGAAATATTAAGAAGCTGCAAGGTTTTGAAAATACAACTTTGAGTATAACGGTAAATAAAGTCTACTTTAGTTGATATATGGCCCCTCATATTGTTGTTGACTGTATAAGGAGCGTGACAGCCACTGCTTGATATGGAAGTAAGCAAGCCGTATGTCGGCAATCAATACAGCATCGCAAAACTACCATGTATGGACGAAAACATTACATTTGACAGCATTTCCAAATATGGATAACCTCAGCAGTCTGTTGTGAGCCACAACAACAGATTACATATCGATGCTTGACCTATTCACAAATACAGTACGCATTTAGCGAGATTTCAATATTTGATGCATCTACGATGTGCATACTCTCATTTTCAGACAGTAAAAGATTTTGGAAGAGTTTTAGAAAGCCGATTTTTTCATTAATGTTTAAGTGCCTGAAAGATGAAAAAAATTATGCTACGTAAAATCCATGTGATATTCGTGTTATTATTGTTATCGTGTTCCAAACATATCACAGAATGGGATGAGTGGTCTTGTTAGCGTTCTATTTAGCAGGTTAGCACGAAAAGCAGATCAATTAAAATGGTAATATTGCGCGCGCGTGTGGGTAAATTGTCTCTGATATTCTCAAACAAATCATGTGTATTCCATAACGAGATTAAGTCTTCTCCCGTAAATTAAATCGAAAACAAATTAATTTATTTTGTAAACACACATACCATGCATGGGTAAACATCTGTAGCCAAGGAACAAAATAATCCGATATTTCTTTGCATGGCAAATACGTAAGCTTGTGCACCTAATCTACATTTGCTTAGAACAGCACTTGATGATATTATTGCTGTGATATTATACATGTTCTATATAGCTACTTGATTCGAACTATCATAGGCATGGTGGAATGTAACTGACATACAGATTTGAATTCAACATCTTCATCAAATACACTTATTCTGTTACTTAAAGGTATTTGCATAGTTGACGTCCCTTTGTTTGTTTGTTGTTGTTTAACGCCGCACTCAGCGATAGTCCAGCTCTATGGCGACGATCGGTAAATAATAGAATCTTGACAAGACAATCCAGTGATCAACAGCATGAGCATCGATCTCCGTAATTGGGGTACGATGACATGTGTCATTAGTCACCTCTTAAGACAATCATGGGTTGCTGAGGACAAATTCTAACCCGGAACTTAACTGGTAAATATCTGGTAGTGACTGTATTCTCGCTATCGGTGATAGGGCCTGGTTTACTGACTGTATTCATGTATGTGTCCAAGTCACAATCACTGTATTCACATTTTCTGTGACTTCCTCAGTGACGTCACATTGTGATACATCGGGTGTCACGTGTTCCATTCACATTGTATGTGATCTCCCTAAGGATAGGGTTCACATTATCCGTGAAGCACCTTGCGTCATTAGGTTGAACCACATTATCTGGTATGCCTGTACTCCTGCAAGCGATGTGTGTGTGTGTGGGTGTGGGTGTGTGTGTGTGTATTCACTGTGTTCATGACAGGTGTGTGTGTGTGTGTGTGTGTGTGTGTGGGTTGTTTAGCCTAGTGGTTAAAGCGTTCGCTCGTCACGCTGAAGACCAGGGTTCGATTGCCCACATGGGTACAATGTGTGAAGCCCATTTCTGGTGTCCCCCGCCGTGATATTGCTGGAATATTGCTAAAAGCGGCGTAAAACCATACTCACTCACTCATGGCAAGGGGCGGTGGGATAGCCGAGTGATTAAAGCTTTCGCTCGTCACGCCGAATACCCGGATTCGATACTCGAATACAAAGCACGCGAAGAAACCTGGAAAAGAATATAGGGACACGTTTGCTTTCATGTGTCCCCTTATTTGTTTCCACGAGTATATCATCAGTAAAGAGTGTATAGGCTCTGTTTGGTCCGACTTGGCCAGGCTGTCAAAAGCAACTTAAACTCAAGATGTATCCTTGATGTTATTGAAATCCCCAGAATATATATTACCATACAATTTTATAGCATCTCAAGGCGTAAAATCTGAAGACAAACATGATGCTTAATGTGAGCCCCTCTTTCCTATATTTTATCTACATAGTCTCCGTATCACAAGTGTTGGGTTCGACGTGGCCCGGGCTGTCAAAAACAAATTAAACATCACAGATGTATCTTGAATTGATTTGTGTTCATGTAAAGATAACTGGTCCGTTAAAGTGAAACCTTTTACCTCTTCACTCACAACATAGCCTAAGAAAAACACCAATGTAGACGGAAACAAACAGCAACGTTGATTCGCATCCCTTTATAGGTTTACCCACTTAAACCCTTTGCGAAAATAGCGAATGTATTGTGTAGGCTTAAAGTTCGGTAACCGAGGATGGTGACACAAATATACGCGATGATTATTTTAAATGATTATGACAATGTCATTAGAAACAATAGAAAGACTAACACTTTAGTTGCTATCTGACATGGTTTTTATTCTTTTAAAGTATTTTGATCTATAAACATTTGATAATCCTATGTAATGCCTTTGAAACAACATAAGCATTATTGAAGTCTTCGAGCCGGATGCCGTTATACAACCCTTAGCGTTACGACAGTCGGAAGGTTATGTTAAGGTATTGGAGTTACGATCACCTTAGCGTTAAGATCGCTTTGTACAACGGCACTCTGGTTCACAGACCATGCTTTGTACAACCACACCCCTTTCGGCCATGCCCGTGCGATTTGGTTATCCCGGACTATTTTGGTCGTGTATAAAGTGGTAGTTGGGAAGTGTGTGTGTGTGTGCGTGCGTGTGTGTGCGTGTATGTGTCGGGGTGGGTGGTGGTTGTGCCGTGTATTGGTGTAGAAGACCTCTGGTGTAGTGGTGGTGGTGTCCCATATGGTGGTTGTGGTGGTGTCTCAGGTAGTAGTGGTGGTGTTATCGCATGTTGTGGTGTGAATGGGTCTCGTGAAGTGAACTCGCATTCTTCTCTATTTATTTATTCATAGGCTTTTTGTCTTCTTTACTTTTAAGACGCTAGATGCTTATACTACTATTGTTTACCCGTGAAGGTCCGGGTTAGAATTGGCCTTCAGTAACTCATGCTTGTCGTAAGAGGCGACTGACGGGATCGGGTGGTCAGGCTCGCTGGCTTGGTTGACACATGTCATCGGTTCCCCATTTGCGCAGATCGATGCTCATGCTGTTGATCACTGAATTGTCTGGTCCTGACTCGATCGATTATTTAAAGACCGCCACTATATAGCTGGAATATTGCTGAGTGCAGCGTAAAACTAAACTCACTCACTCACCTTTTGTTTAACCACAACTCAG